TTGGTAAATTGGTTCAAAATAAGAATCATTTTTGTATTCATTAATCAATAATTCTTTATCAATTAGGTTGGTATTAATGATATTAATATTTGAAAGTTGGGGAACTCCAGATAATGCATCAGCTACCACATTTGTTTTTCCCAGTCAGTATTTAACATCAAAATTAGATGATTGTAAGACTTCAAGCCACCTAGCTTGTCTTCTGAAGAGGTTTAATTGTGATTTAATAAATTTCAAGGCTACATGATCTGTGATAATTGTGAATAGTTTTTCTTCAAGATAGGGACACCAAAGTTTAATAACATGAACTATTGCCAGTAGTTCCTTTTCATAGGTTGCATAGTTTAATTCAGCAGAGTTTTAATTTTCTAGATTCAAACGCAATAGGTTGGTCACCTTTACCATGGTCTTAGCTCAGCACAGCTCCAATGGTAGTGTCAGAGGCATCAGTAGTCACAGTAAAAGGTTTAGTTTGATCTGAAATAAGTAAAACAGGTGCAGAAGTTAACTTCTCTTTTAATTTATCAAAAGCTTCCTGTTGATCTGATTTCCATTCATATGGTATGTCCTTTCGTAATAAGGTAGTTAGAGAGGAGGCAATAGCAAAGAAATTTTTTACAAATTTCCTGTAATATGAAACTAGTTCCAAAAATGATCTAAGTTCTGTTAAGTTGGTAGGATTAGACTATTTTTTTATTACTTCTACTTTCTTTTCATCAACGGCAATTCCTTCACCGGATATATAATGTTCAAGATATTCAACTTTGTTTTTGAATAATTCACACTTCTTTAATTTGACATATAATCTATGTTCTCTAAGTTTTGATAATACTTTGCGCAAATGTTTCAAATAGTCTTCTTTTGTTTTACTGTATATTAGAATATCATCCAAATATACAACCACAAATCCATCAAGATATTCATGAAAAATATCGTTCATTAGAGTCATGAAAGTTGCAGGAGCATTGGTTAATTCAAAGGGTAAGACTAAAAATTTATAATGACCATATCGAGTTCGGAAAGCAGTTTTATGGATATTTTCTTTTTTGATTCAGATTTGGTGATATCCTGAGTATAAATCCAATTTGGAAAAGTATTTAGCATCAACAAGTCGGTCAGTAAGTCTTCAATTCGAGGTAGTGAGTAGCGATTCTTGATGGTCATCTTATTAAGAGCTTGATAATCAACACAAAGTTTCAAGGTTCCTTCTTTTTTATGAACAAATAAGACAGGAGCACCAAAAGGAGATACAGAAGGTTGAATAAATCCTTTTTCCAAAAGGTCAGAGAGTTGAACTTTTAATTTCTTCATTTCATAATAAGATAGTCGATAGACAGGTTGAGATGGAGGTTCCATACCAGGTATAAGATCAATTGCGTAATCCAATCTTCTTTCTGGAGGTAATCCATTAAGCAAAGTAGTAGGAAAAGTGTCATCGAATTCTTTCAAAAGTTTCTTAACTTCAGGAGGATATGCCAGTTGTTTTTCATTAGAGGTTTCTTTTTCAGTTAAATATAAACTAAACAGTTCTTCATTTGAAGGTATTCTCGCAAATTATTACCTTGTAATAAATACAGAATTACATTCAGGTTCCCTCATTTTTCTTTCATCAGCTTATACAGTTATTCGATTTCTTCCAAAAGAAAAAGTTAAAATATTATTTCTCCAATCTATATCAGGGTTAGTATTGAAAAGCCATTGTTTTTTCAAAATAACATCATAACGATTGAAATTAATTACTTGAGCTTTAATACATTTAGCTCTATAATCTCCAATCTCAAGATTATTAAGAAGTGCTTTTTAGTTGGTTTCTTGTTTTCTCTCATCTGCCAATTCGATGATTAGAGTTTTGTTGATTTTAGTAGGGAAGTGATTTCTTTGTATAAAATTATTATCGACAAAATTTCTTGAGGCACCACTTATACGTGTTGCCCAAATCCCAAATCATTTGAAATTTGAGACGTCAAAATCTCAAATTACTAGTATTTGGGATTTGGGATTTTGACAAAAAATACTAATTATAATTTGGGATTTGGGATTTGGGATTTCAGCATTTGAGATTTTGACATTTGGATTTTGAATTTGGGTGACAGGTATAGCACCATTATCAAGTAAAATCTATGCCTTTTTACCATTGACATTTCCATTAAATCGCAGTAATCATTCTTGATTTCCTTTAGTTCAGTTTATTTCCAAGCTATTGTTACCAAGGTTTTCCTCTTCAAGATTTTTTAGTTGGGTTTTTCTTAGAGAACAATTCTTGGAATAATAACCATATTCCTTACAATTATAACATTGCACCCTTGATCGTTAATTATTACTACTATTATTGTTGTTAAACCTATTACCATTATTGTTATTATTATTATTATAGTGACTATTATTTCTAT